AACCCCTAAACCCTAAGCCCCTAAACCCTAAGCCCCTAAACCCTTAACCCCTAAACCCTAAACCCTAAACCCTAAACCCTAAACCCTAAACCCTCAACCCTAAGCCCTAAACCCCTAATCCCGTCAACCCCTAAACCCTAAACCCTAAACCCCTAAACCCTAAACCCTAAGCCCCTAAACCCCTCAACCCCTAAACCCTAAACCCTAAACCGGTTTACTATAGGGGCTCATCGAGGCGACGAGGCGAGAGCCACTCAGGGTTTTTTAGCTTGGGGGAGAGTCTTCCACTCACCTATAACTCCTTTACTTCAGGGTTTAGGGTTTAGGGTTTAGGGTTTAGGGCAGCTACCAGCCGACAACATAAGTTTGTCTCTTGCTATGGGCGACGACCTTTCTGGCATGGGCACTATGACACCAGAGTGCTTGGATAATTCCAGAGAGTTAAGTGCCCTCGTGGACGATGAGCTTAAGAAGCTTGGTTCCTCGACCAAGATTTCATTTACGTCACACGATTACGATTTAGCAGCGAAGTGTGCTACTTTCGGAAACGGTGACAAGCTTATCGCCAGGCTGTGCATGGTGTCTGAGAAACTAAGAGCTGAACAAGCTGAGGTATTCTCTTTGCGGTTAGGCATACTCCAGATTTGAAGGCTCAAGTCATGGAGATTTTGGCCACTTCCTTGTCCAAGGAAGACTTAGAGACCGCCACTATGTGCATGCTGTACGAGACGTTCAAAGGGCCTTGAAAACTAGGCTAGGGCCGTGGGGCTCCTTCGTAGTGTAGTTATAACATAAGGAACCATTCACCTACGTACCCATCTACAAACCCAAGACACAAACGGTTTAGGGCTTTGGGGTTTAGGGTTTAGGGCTTAGCGCTTTAGCCAAGAAGCCTTGACATGGGAGTTTCAGACAACTGAAACACGTTTTGCGAGCCCCAAATCAAAGATCCCCTCCTCCAAGCTCCCCTGACTTTCAGAAGCTTTTATTCACCAAGAAGCCTCCAGGACTGGAGTATAGGGGCCTTGATAATTACCTATATCATTTTGGAGGGCTCAGAAGACTGCCGCCAGCGGCAGATAGCTGAACGCCCCAGTATCTCCCTGAGATACGTTTTTGAGCCTCCGCCGCAGCCATAGGCGCTGCCCGTCCATCGCCCACGTGGCACAGGAGACAACGGCGACGACGATCTCAAGCTCGACGGCGAGTACGAGACAGCCAATACCGGGGTCGGGCCCCGGCACTACGAGACTGTCTCCTACTGCAGCGTCATCACTCTGCGGCACCAAGCATGGGCCGAGGCAGCAAACAAGCCTGGCAGGACGACCGAAATGGACAGTCGTCCTCATCCTGGCAATTGTGGCGAGGAGCGCGCTCCCCACAAGGCAAGGGTGCCAATGCTCCGTGGACCCAAAGCGGCGGCCGTGGCTCAGGCCACAAAGGCAAGAACAAGGAAGGCAACGCCTTCCCGGCCTACGACGCTATGCCGATCACCCCTGCAGTGACTGCGGCGACTGCGGCTACCAGTACCCAGTCAGCTCCACCCGAGGATTTCGAGGTCCCCACGGTCCAGAAAGCTCTCAACCAGGCCAGGAAGACCGAACTGAGGCTACAGAAATTGGTTACCGAGAGGCATCGCTCTACGATGCAGTGGGACCAGTACGTGCGAAACCAGAAGAAAGCCTATTTGGAGCAGAAACAGCGCCACCTCCAGGCGCTCGAAGCCTACGATCACGAGATCCAAGCAGCCAAGGAGGCCCAGAATGTGGCGAGACTGCAGCTGCGACAGACGGTCTTGAACGAGCAGCAGACGGGCGCCATGGAAGGGGTTGTCAGCGTGGAGGACGCGGAATGGGACACGATGCTTGCATCGTGGGATCAAGAACGCACAGAGACTGCGGACGGGGTGCTTCGGCGAGCCCTGTTAGAGGCGACAGCCACGCGCACCCCTCTACGGTCGACTACGGCTGCGCCGCGCACTCCACCGGCTGCATTGACAGTGCGAACCGATGCTGTTCTACCTACCCCTACCTTGCCAGCCGCTGCTTATACCAGCAGACCGGAGAGCTCGACGAGAGACCCATATCAAGTGGCCTCTCCTGTGGTCGCAACGCCACATGGAGCGCCGCATACAAGCCACACAGGAGGATATGGCGTTATGGTGGAGCCTACAGAACGCCCTTCTCCCTACTCGGGCGTTTACGCAACGAAGGAGGAGGCGGCAGCCGTGGGCGTCATACCCCATCCCAGTTTGGCGGAGCGCGTCCAGGCAAAGAAGGCCGCTCTAGGTGCAGCTCTTACACCCTTCGGATCGGGCAAAACAGTAACGCCTCCTGGATTGGGAGGCGAGGCCGCACCCAGTACGACCACGCCATCCGGAATGGTTCCGACGGTGCTGGAGGACGACGACGACGAGGATCTACAAGAGCCAGGTCAGGACAGCAGCTATATGCCAGCACTTGGTGGCCTGGAGTAAGACCCGGCCCTCGTTTTGAGCAAGAGTGTAATCTCCTGGGGAGGCCGCATGCTCCAAACTTGCAATGGGACGCAAGTGCGGATGCTCTGTTCCACCTCGGGAATGATTTTCTCTTGGATCAAAACGCTGGGCCCAGGGATCATTCTGAGCGATGTAGGTTTCACCCAACCAATTTTGAGTCCCTTCCTCGCCAGCAGTCCTATCCTGCACCGCCTTGTCTTGGGCTCGGTGCCTCACCTGTCGTGCCAAGCCGGCAGTACCTCCCTTGGTCTATGGAAGGTTGCTGTCGTGCTTTTGGCCCGTCTTCCTCGCGGGGATTTGAGAGCTGTCTTCTTGGCAGTACTCTTTGTCCCCCCACGCTCCCATGCTACCCCTTCAGGAGTTCGGGTTCGGAGCTACAAGGGTTAATTTTCTTTCGCGGGCGCCAAAAAGAGGGATCGGTGGCTCAGGGCCCTCTGCCGCGTTTTCAGCCCTATGACACTCGCAGTTCCCAGCTTGCTCCTTTTAAGGGCGACCGTGACGACTGTCACCAGTTTTGTAACGTTCAGCGTGCCGCGCAGGGCACGCCAGCAGGTGACTCTCGAGCGCCAAAAAGAGAGATCGGTGGCTCTGGGCTCTCTGCCGAGTTGGATCACCTTGCTACTAATTTACTGATGAGACTGGGGTCTTTTGTTGTTCCATTCTTCCGGGGCCTCGTTGTCATAGGTTTTTTGGCCGTTCTTAGACTCTTGGTCAACCCGTGGCCTGTTGGAACTTCCCCTCTTGCCGCCCTTTGCTACGTGCCCCTTCTAGGGGCTACAGGCAAATATGCTTTATCACTAGGTGCGGTAGCTACTCCTGAGCCAACAGCCGGGCCTATCCTAGACTGGAGGCCCTATCGCGACCGCAAGGGCCGGCCGGCTCATTCGCGACGCCCATTTAGAAGGGTTCAGAGCCCTTCATGTTGGGCCAAAATACTTCTGCGTTTTGGGCTGCGCCAGAGTGGCCGTCGGGACTGGAGTATGTTCACGACTTTGTACCTGATCCCGGTCCTCCCAGCAGTGCAGTAGGAAGTGATATGGCACCTGCCCACACCCTAAGCCACTCTGAGGTACCCAACATAGTTGCGAGTGGGGCTCCCCACGCCAGACTTCAGGCCACACAAAGTGTCATCTACCGTGCGGGCTTTCCAGCCCAACATGTTCTTGTTAGAACAGAACTACCGTGCCTTGAAGCCACCTTTGTACAGGCTGTACAAGATCAGTGGGGAGCCGGGCTGTCGCATCACCTTCTGGTGCCCACCAGCCCACAGATTGCCGGCGACCTGGTTTCTTTGGCCTGGGTACCAATATGGGCTCCACAGGGTGACAGAGCGGTTGTCATTTATGACTTCTCGGCGTGGGGACAACCCGTATATGCAGTTCTAGGTTGGGCTCGGGTTACCCACATAGACCTGACCTTGGCCGCCCGGCAATACGCGGACAGCGCTTGGGCGGTTTATCACAGCCACAGTTCGGATCCTCTCCGAGATGGTGACTCCGTTCTTGCGCGTTCAGGTGATGTCTTCACGTTTGTGCCCTCGGCCACAGCACCTGTCCATTCCATGTCACTGGGCGACAGTCTTCGCAGTCTTAGCGGCTGGGACGCCTCCCCACGAAGGGTACCCCGCGAAAGACCTACCAGTAAATGGTTTGCTGTCCGCAGTCATGTCACCCGTATGCCTGTCTGCGAAACTAACAGCCTCTCAGAGTTACTACCTGTTGTGGCAGCAGCTTTTCACTGTGACCCCGCAGAACTTGTACTCAGGTTTCCCCAGGCTGATAGTCCCCTGCGCGATCTCGTTGTCAACGGTGATCATATGCAAGGTGTCCTGGCGGCCGAACCCAGACCAGGTGGGCGGACGGACGCAGAACTGACTGGGGCATTTGTCTTCATTGACCCCCGTATGATCGGAGAGCGTCCTACGTTCGTTTACTGCACTCCAGAGTGGAAGGACATAGGACACCTGGTTCGGTTTCTAGGTGCTAAGCCTCCACCCGGTTTCCAGGTCAGGGCATACGGGACCGCCAATCGTGAAGGGCAATACCTTGCTACCGACCGCTGCACCATCCAGCTGACTTTTGAGCCAGCTATGCGGGTTCCAAGCTTGCCCGGCCCTGGGCCCATTCAGGATACGGCACACACCCGTGACATCAGGTGCCCCAGGCTTAGAGAGGACAAGGCGCCTGTGCCACTGTGTGGTCCACCGCCGCCCGCACCAGTTGCGACCCTAGCACCAACCCGCTCGAATGTTGGCGACCGAGGCCCATCGTTCACGATTGGTGTTACAGTTTTGCCCATAGGTAGACGCCCCATGGAGTGCGCAGTTGAACGGGACGCTCTAAGTGCAATCTCGGATGTTATCGATAGCCTAGCGCTGCAGCTCGAAACGCAAGATGCACTTCATTACAGCAGGATTACGGCCATACCACACCAACCGGAGGCTTCTAGGCTTGTTTGCTTGCAGGCTCCCGATTGGTCACCTTACGCACCTCTGTCCCTGCTTTGTTTCAGAGTCGCAGGACTTAGTCCACCGCACCGAGAGGCCATGTTTGCAACCTTGGTGCCAGTGTTTTCCACTGTTGCTGAACTATGTGCTGAGGCTGACATACATGACCCCGCCGCTGTGGACGTCCATCTCAACGACTCCCCAGCCCCACTTAACAAGGATGACCGGCACCAGCTACCCAGTGAAGGCCTATTGTCTTTTGTCCCGGCGGGGCATCCAGTGCCACCGACGTATCCAGCAAGCCTACCTGACATTGTGCGTGAGGTCACCTTGTCCTCTGTGCCCAGCAGAAATCCGGCGGAATATGTCCTCCTGCTGTTTGGTCCGAGAAGTCACATTTTTCATGTTGACTTACCCGCCGCTCAATCTCAGTGTGCCGCAGCCAGAACCGTAGGGATGGCCAGGGAGGATATCGATTTTCACACACCCACCTTGCCACAATTTGATGGGCTTTTGCAATGTGGCGTTCAGATCCGAGGGGTTGTCGCTATGATTCCCAAACGGGTTGCACCATATGTAGTCCTGTTTCTTGATATGCGCCCACTCGCAGCCGGGGTTCAGCATGTTATACTTCACAGGGCTTCCATCACCCTTGCAGCCCTTCGCGATTTCGTTCAGCGCACCCCACCGCCGTCTTGGAAATTGCATATTCAAGGAGGACGGCGTAGACGCCACAGGATAGATGTTGAAAGTGGCGACACCCTCATCCTGGGCTTCAGGTTTGTGGTGCCCGACTCGGGATCGGAATCCAACCACACGGCTTTCGACCCCACCACGGACAGTTCCAGCAACTCCACTTCCGATGGAGATGAGTCCGATAATGCACGTAGCTCCGCTGCATCAACTCGTTCGAGAAGTCAGCGACGCGGAACTACGCGGCGCAGTTCTACATCCGACCACTCATACCAAGGTGAGGCCACAGAAGGGTATGCTGACTCAGGTCAAGGCGAGCCAATGGACGCAATTGATAGAGCGACCAATACTGCACCGGCCAACTATGGAACACCCCCCCGAGGGGAGACGGTCCGTAACCGTCCCCGGCGATATCAGAGACAGGACTCAGCTCCTCCTAGTCCACACACTTCGCTGCATCTGGCCGCGGACGAAGGGATTGAGGATCACCTCATAGACGTAGTCTTTTTGATTCTCACGCCAGGTTACACAGGAGAGGAGGTACTTGTCACTCTGCCGGCACTCTGTGACGTCGATGATGCATTGCAAGCTGTTGCAGAAATAAGGAATCCTGATCATTCGTTGCTCTTCGATTGCCTTCTGCCAGCTGAACCACAACCGGCACTTGCGTTCGGCACTCTTCTCGCCCTCCCTGCGTGGGCCTGTGACCATGCCATTGTTGTCATCGACACGAGGTCCATCGACGGCAGACTCTTTGCCTTTGAACTGCCCGAAACTTTGCGGAGGGAATCGGTGTTGCTACAAATTGGATTGCAGGACCGGCAGGGCTTGCATGTCTATGTCGGCACCACTCTGCTTGGGCCAGCAGCCTTTGGCACCTTCCACCAGGGAGAGGTTGTCACTGTTGTAGAGGGAACTAACCGGCCCGCCGGCCAGCCTAATCTTGCGGCCTTGTTGCGAGCAGGCACGCTTCGGGACCAACCATGCCTTGATCCCAACGGACCGAAGCCAGATGCTTTCTGTTTTCTTACTGATGCAGGCCAGCGTACCATTGAGGTAACCTCCGAGACGCCTCTTACCGCAGCTGACTTTAAGCAGGCCACGGTTCAGGCTCTTGGGTACACCCTAGAAGCTACTACGGTTTGCCCCTCTACCCCAAGAGTCCGCAACTGCGCTTTTCGCGGTCAACGATTCAGGGCTCTTATAGTTGCAACCGAGACTATCTCACGCATACCTATACCACCAGGTAGGCCGCTTTCAGTTCAACACATCATCTTGTTGGACCTACGCCCACTTCTTCTTGACTTTCAGTGGATCAAGTTGGTAGGCGGTAAGACTACCATTGCCCACCTCCTCACAGGGCTTGCTATAGAAGCGCCACGAGGATACAGAGTTGATGTTTTTAGCGGGGTTGAAGAGCGTGATCCGAAGCAACCCTTCAGGCTTCACCACGGTGCCGTGGTAGTCTTCCACTATGCCCCCATCGATGCGGACTCGCCTCCGTCATCTACTATGCAGGATGTCACAGAGACAGACCCCGCTGATGCCACCGATCTCAGTGGGATCGACGAGGATACCCCACCAGTTACAGGCTCCGGCTCAGCCTCGCCACGACCACATAGTCGTACCCCTAGGCGTACAGGCCTAGGAGATGAAGCCCGAGATGGCCTGATGACCATTGCCAAATATGCTACCCTTACTGTACATCGGGGTATAAATGATAGTGTCTGCGGTTTTTGGGTAAGCTCTCCGGACTGGGCCCGCCGCCTGCTTTGGGCCATCCTTGGAGCCGAACACCCCCCACGTTTCCACGGACTGCGCCAGCTTGCCCTTACCTGGG